AGATAGATAGATAGATAGATAGATAGATAGATAGATAGATAGATAGACAGATAGACAGATAGATATAATGATAGAGATAGATGGATAGATAGATAGATAGATTATAGATCAATAGAAGATAGATAGATAGATAGATAGATAGATAGATAGATAGATAGATAGATAGATAGATAGATGATGGATGGATAGATAGATAGATAGATAGATAAGCCAGGAATGAAAGCAAGCCAGCCATTAAAGCAAGCCAAGCATGGTCATATGCAAGTATGAAAGCATGCCTGTAATCCCAGTGCTGGGGCCAAGGGGTGGAGACAGGATTGTTGGGTTTGCTGGCTGCTAACCTAGGTCCAGGCTCAGTGAGAGACCTGTCTCAGGAAATAAAGTAGGAAGTGATAGAGACAGACCATGATGTCCTCTTCTGGCCTCTGCACACATGTGCACAGGTATGTACACTCATACACAGGCATGAGCTTACAACAGACATATGCATGCATACTTGCACACATACATGTACCTGAGTGCACACAGATGCTGAACACTCCCTTATTACATTTAAGAAAGACGTTTCTAGCTTAAACCAGCAGTTGATATTGGCATGTACTGAGCTGTGTGCCTCCTGTGTGGTATGTTCTGGGTACTCAACCTGTGGTCTCAGGCTTCCAGATTACATTCATCTCCCAAGATCACCACATTTATTTTTAACTTGTGGACTAAACAAAATCAGCCAAGGCTCCTGGAACCTTCGAGTCCAAGATGCTGTCCTACACCCATAATGAGAGTTTGACACCTTATCCTAATGTCCATTGACCAGGTCACTTCCAGAGCTGTGACAACCTGTGGAGTGGCAAGTACCTTGACAGGTAGTGCATGCCCCATCACTGAAAGGACCCAAGCAAGACTGCCATGGAAGAAAACGAATACTCAGGTAAGAAGATTCCCAGGTGCCAATGCTGGTACTCATTTTGCCCAGGAGAGTTGAGGGAGGGGTTCTTCAGTCCCCCTTTACCCAAAGAAGGTGAATTCCCAAGAAGGGCCAGGAGGTAGAGTGAGGAGATGAGCACTGACTGACACCCGTGGCACACAGCCAGGTGGAACAGGGAAATTCAAGGCCCCTCCCTTCTGTGACTCAACACCTTCCCAACAAAACTCAGCTCCAGTTGGACAGCTGGGTGTCAGATAGAATTGAAAGCCAATCTGAATGGGAACTTGGAATTCAGAATGAATTCTCAAAACCAGGGTAAGGAGGAGCTGGGGAACTGCATGGGAAAACATCAAGAAAGAGTTTTGGGGGGCAGCTCAGGTATTAGAGTAAAATCTGAAGAATGTGGGTAGTATCTGGGAATTGGACTTAGATGTGGGGCAAGGACTGAGATGGGGTGTCTTATAACTAGGGAAGGGGCTCAGAGTTAGGGGCAGACAGGAGGGTAGCAAGGACTTGAGGACCAAGGCTAAAGTATGGGGAGTTGGGAGTCAGAAGTGACTAGAAAGAAGAGCATCCCTCTAGAGTTGAGGCTTGGGGACCCAGCGTTGCAAGAGAAAAGGGTGGATGTCTGCATCTGGCTCTAAGTCTGTCTCTCTGGAAATGACCTGGACTGGAGTCAGACTCATTGCTTGCTGGAGTGTGGGCAGACTCTAGTTGGATAGGCAAAAGTCCAGAGAAGCAGACTCAGAGATACGCAGATAAGGCATAGATAGACGGAGCTAAGGAGAATTGATGGGCACACCCCATACAGGTAGACACAGTGGTGGACAGTTTGCATGTACAGAAAACTGAGGAAGAAGGAGCCTGGGTCCACTGAGACCCTCTGCTTCAGGCAGGGCTCTAGACATGCTCCTTGGCTGTTGAGACTCTGAGTGATGGGGAAACAGTTAGGGGTGGAGCCTGTACCCCCATGTACCCATCAATACTCTCCATGCTACCAACAGGATACTGGGAGCCTCCCAGGAAGCGTTGCTGCTGTGCAAGACAGAGGACACAACTCGTGCTGGTGGGGCTGCTGAGTACAGCAATGTGGGCTGGCCTGATGGCCCTGCTTCTTCTATGGCGTAAGGACACCTGCAGTCCCATAGCTTCCCATTCTGCTCCCATCCCCAAGCCGCCTGATCTCCCCAACTTCTGTTTGATCCTAATATCTCCTGCCATCCAGCATCCCTGATCCTACCTGTAACCCCCAACCACAGTTGAGAAATAACTCTCCTTGTCTGATCCTCTTCCCACTGACCCGCTAGATTGGGAAACGGAGAAGAATCTAAAACAGCTGGGAGACACTGCAATCCAGAATGGTATGGAAGGGTCAAGATGGGATAACGGAAGTGCAGGTTGGAATGGTTAGCTATTGTCATTTTCCTGCCAGTGACCACTGTGGGGGCTGCCTCAATGGCACCCTCTCCCCAGGGAACCAATGGACAGTCTCCATCTCAGTAGAAAACTTCTTCAAAGTCTAGAGAAGCAAGGTTGTCTCTCATCTGATATCTGTTCAGATGGCAGGGTTCACAAAACCACTTGGGCCTCCCTTTACCCTTCTATACCCTGGGTGTGAGCGAGCTATCGAGTGAAGAAAGAAAAATAAAGAAAGCCTCTGAGGCTAGGGGGTGTAGTTGAGATGGCAGAGCAGGTGCCCTGGGTTCCATCCCCAGTGCTTCATAACTGGGCACTGTAGTGCATACTTGTGATCCCAGCAATTGAAAAGAGGAGGCAGGAGGATCAGAAGTTAAGTTCCAGACCATCCTAAGTTACATGAGACCTGTCTTTGAAAAAAGAAAGAAAGAGAAAGGGAGGTGGGGAGGAAAGTCCTCAGAAAATATGGCTACTGTTCTCATATTTAATCCCAAAGGAAAAGGAGGACATACCTGATCATTCAGTTCTAGCCCATACCTCACATGCTCCACCTCTCCCTTGCTCCGTGCAAAATGTATATACCTTGAAAGAGGTCCCTGAACTGAGGGTAGGGGTGAAGTACAACCTCAACTGGGTGTGAGGGTGCATGCCTGCCTGTTGTGTTGAGGCAGGAGGACTGCAAGCAATATGAGCTACAAAGTGGAAAAGGAGAAAGAGGGGGAGGGAAGGGGAAAGGGATGGGTTGAAAGTGGGTCTTTGTGACTCTTAAAAACACCTCTCTTCTTCCTCCCTCTGTCCCAGTCTCTCGTATTACCAAGGACTTACAAAAATACCAGAGTAATCAACTGGCCCAGAAGTCCCAGGGTGAGCCAGTCACCTCCTGTCGGTTTGGGTTGGGGAAGGGAAAAAAAGGCTGGAACAGCTTTGAGCAGTCAGTGGTGGCTATCTATGCCCTACTGCAAACCACACAGCAAGGAGGCAGCCCTAAGGCCCATGGGGGAAGAAGTGGGGGCCGGGGGACACTCTCCAGGAACCTTGTCATCACTAAGTTCTGCTCTCTGGGCAGCTGTTCAGATGTCACAAAACTTGCAAGAGCTCCAAGCTGAGCAGAAGCAAATGAAAGGTCAGGGTAAGTCAGGGTGGGAGGAAGCAGGAACCCCCCATCCCAAGAACCACATGGACATGAGGGGGCTGGAGGCTAGGGTCAGGATTTCGGGTGGGGATGAAAGGAAGGAGAAGAGAGGGAGAGGAGGACCCGTAAGCAGCATCTCGGGGTGACCTGATTGATAAGTAGCATCTCTAAGACCAGAAATACACCTTTCAGATTCTCAGCTCTCCCAGAACCTGACCCAACTCCAAGAGGATCTGATCGACGTCAAATCCCAGAGTGAGACTCGGAAAGACCAGGGGAAAGGGACAAACCGAGTGGGAAGGGGTGGTGCTGCGAGAAGCCAGTCAGTATCTGAATATGCACCCACCTCTACACCTTTCAGACTCTGAACTCTCCCAGAATCTGAACAGACTCCAAGAGGATCTAGTCGACGTCAAATCCCTGGGTGAGATTTGAATGGCCAAGGGAAAGGGGCAAACTGAGTGGGGAGTGTTCCCTGGGGATGCCAGTCAGTCCCTGAATGCTGCACCCATCCCTGGTCTCCCTAGGCTTGAATGAGAAGCGCAAAGCCTCAGATTCTCTGGAGAAAATCCAGGAAGAGGTGGCGAAGCTGTGGATAGAGATACTGATGTCAAAAGGTGAGCCTGACCTACCATCGAGGTGACCTGTAACCAAATACTGTGACATTCTGTGTGTGCCGTGTAAGGTGTCTGTGCTGACACAATTGTGTGGAATGGTGTGACTGAGGTTCTGTGTGATGTCCGTGGATCGGAGTTGATGTGGGGACCAAGACAGATGGAGACACAGAAGAACACCCTCTGCTGGTGGGGGCGGAGTCCACAATGTTTTCATCCTCCAGGATAACGCTAACCACCACTAGCTTTCCTGCATTCCCGTGGTCTGCCCAGCCAGGCAGGGAGACGTGGACATCAGGAGCCCTGTCAGGGGTGGCAGGGACAGAGGGACAGCTCCATGTTGTGACCCCTGGAAGCCTGAGGAGTTTCCTCAACCCTCTAGGGACCTCAACTCAAGTAAAACAGGATCTTTGTCTTTGACTCACAGAATTTCAGGGCAAGTCAATGTGATGAAAAAATCAGAGTTTATCCAGAGAGATTTTAACAGGAATTTTAAAATTATTTTTGACATTTTATTTACTTTATGTGCATGTATGTGTGGAGGAAATGCATGTCGTAGCACATGGGTGGAGGTCACATGGGTGGAGGTCAGAGGACAACTTTCAGGAGTTGGTTCCCTCCATCTACCACATAGGTTCTGGCCATTGAACTCAGGTCTTCATACTTAGCAGCAAGCTCCTTTAGCCACTGAGCCATCTCACTAGCCCTAACACAGATGTAAGCACAAGGGGTAAGAGAAAGAATGGGTCCTGAAGAAGAAAAGACAGAGCCAAATGTGGGCTTCTCACGCACCAGCATCCTCCAGTAGTCACAGATGGGATTTGGTATGGTTTGAGGTTATCTTCAAAGGCCTGTTAAAGGTGTGTGTGTGTGTGTGTGTGTGTGTGTGTGTGTGTGTGTGTGTGTGTTGTGTAGGGGGGTGGGGAGATGTGTACACGTGGTATGGTACATGTGTGGAAGTCAGAGGACAATCTCAGGAGTCGGTCCTTGCCTTCCATCTTGTTTGAGATACGATCTGGTGTTGTTAACCACTGCATATGCCAGGCTAGCTCGCTCATGAGTGTCCAGGGGTTCTCCTGCCTCTGCCTCACATTTTGCGGGGTTGGGGGGGGGATTACAGGTTCATGCTGTCATGTCCAGCTTTAACCAGCTCTGGAGATCCCAACTGAGGTCCTCATGCTTGCTCGGCCCAGAGAATTTAAATGAACGCAGGGCAGTTCCCAAGAGGGTGACAATTGGTGAGGTGAAAGATCTACAGGAGTGCAAGAAGACAGGACTTTTTTTTTTTTACTGTAAACAGAAACAACAGTCTTGTTGGGTAGCCCTTGATGAAGTCCAACCTGAGATCACTGTTCATTGTTGTCTTAATATAAAATATCCATATGTGGAAAGAATATAGAGATATCCATGCATTGTCTCTATGCAGGCAGCCTTCAAGGCAAATGCTAATTGTGCTGAGAGTCTTGCCTCTCTGCTGGTGAGAGGCTCCTACCAGACTTCAGCATCACGGGCTCCTTTCCTGTTCCACGTTCCCACAATCCCATAATGTCTCCTCTCCTTCTGTGCCACCTCACCCTCACCAAAGCAGCCTCCCTAGACTGGCCCACTCAGTGCTAAGGGTCATGACATCACCACCAGGGACAGCACGGTGGTGGGAATGTCCACCCAGCAGGCCAACTAGCTTGCAGCAAGAGCCACTGCAGCGCCTGTAGCACAGGACAAGAACGAGGTTGCAGTGTTACCCTCCTTGCACCAGTGACACATTGCCCTTGACTTTTCTCCCTTCCACTTCTGGAAAGTCCCAGCTGCCCCAAAGGGATAAGAGAAGGGGAAGGAACTTTGCTTGGTCAGAAGGAGTCCCCATCCCCTGGGACGTGTGGCTCTGGGGATCCCAGCAGAAAACCCCTGTGGTTTCTTAGGGTGGAGAATGAGGAGGCTCTAGGTCATGTTCATTGCTCACAGATTTCCCACCACTTACCCTTTCTCTTAGTACACACGTGCAAATACACTACGCATGCGCACACACACACAACACACCTCACATATACACACATATACACCGTATGCACATCAATCACACATATACAAAACACACATC